TATATCAATAGGAAAATAAGGGCACTATTTACCCTTTACTGCCCCACTCCCCGAGAACTGAGCCGGGTTTTTATCGAAATTGGTCAATGACTGTGGATTTGGCTAGAAACTTGCCTTAAGGGGTAATTTGACCCGTAGAACACGAATATCATATCGGTTTAGCGCGAAAACGCTTGGCGCCCGCGCCAGAAGGGCCGGCGCCAAAAAGCGCCAGAACATCTCGGACCCCAAACTCGCTGGAAAGTTGTCCTCAGAGGTATTTTGACCCGTAGAACATGAATATCATATCGGTTCGTTACGAGTGAGTCTGTAGCTTGTGCTACGAGCACCCGCGCACATCGGTTGTGATGGCGGGCGCTTGGCGCCGGCCCTTTGGCGCGGGCGCCAAGCGTTTTCGCGCTAAACCGATATGATATTCGTGTTATCTAGTAGAGAATGGTTTTTAGTTTTGTATATATACGTCTCCGTAAATCATGCTACCTACCAAAATGAAACGCTTCCAAATTAACAGCATCTTTCACAGATACGGCATGGTTAAATTGGAGGTTGGTGTACTGCAGGACTCCACAAAGTCAGCTAACACATCGGTATGTTTTTTCTTCAAAAAGAACTCCTTTTTCTTCTTTCTGTTTTCTTTTGGTAATCATTTGAGCTCGGGCTCTGTAGATTCTTCACTAATAAGCTCAATGATTTGCAGTAATCGAACAGAATTTTGATGCTGCCCAAAATTGGCTGAAAGCGTGATTGCTAAACTGAGAATGGCTGCTGAAAATCCATTAAATGGGTTCCACTGCCACCCCAATCTTATGCATAGAAGGGAATGCCCTTAATGTGACTTCACCTACACATTGCTCGAAGACTCACCTTTGTGGCAGTACTTCATAGGGCTCGTTTTCTTCGTTCTTTCCTGGTTACAGCATTGAGAGCAAACATGTGTTTGAAAAAAATGTTTGAGTTCCAGCTTGCTGCCTTCCCATTGCCTTCAGGTAGAGTTCTTAGGCACATTGCGGCACTGCTGGGGCATACATTCGGCTACTAAGCAACTAAGCCAAATGAACCATTTGTTGCATCGAATTCAGGATCAGAATAACTACTCTATTTTCACTTGATCCGGTTTCTGAAAAAATTAATTTTTCTTTGTATCTTACCATTTCTGAGAGAGAGTACTTTTTCGATACGGTTAGCAGAGTTTTTTGGGGATGTTGGAAGCGGTCTTGCTTGGAGTGGGTGTTTTATGATTGCAATAGTATTCTGATTTCATGGTCGGAACTCACCAGGCTCAGATTTTTTTACTATGTTCATCAAGAATTACTGTCTAACGCATGCTTTAGAGTCCATTAGAACAAAGCTGATTATCTTTTGATCTTCATTCACCTGCCTGACCATTTAGCAATAGACAATAATCATAATCAACAATTTTATGAACAACACTAGATTTGTTGTGTGCACCGCATTAGTTATTTCAACATCTCTTGGCATACTTTTTTAGTTTTTTTTTCTTACATGATGGAGAGTTTTTACTTGTCCTATTCTTTCGTTCGCAGTGCTGCATAGTCTGTGGGCTCATCATGTTGACAGGTTGCGGATATAGCGATGCTCCTACGGTTGAACTGAATAATCACTGTCAGAATGCGACCATACTTTGCGAGCGTCTTCAATTCGAGTTTGGAGTAGATACGTATCGATCGACCGTGGTGAGATCGATACGTGTCTACTCCACGGTGAAGCAAATGAAGTGCAAGTAGGCGCGGAGCAGGGTGAATATTGCTTGAGGATTCCTCAACGGCACGTCGAGGATTTTCGCCTGATCTTTACGTTCTCGCGCGCGGATATTCACTCTCGCCACCCGCGAGCCGTCTGTGCTCTCCGCGCGTACATTCACTCTCGGCACTACTCTCGCACAGCAGAGAGCATGGTCGAGGAATTCCTCGACCGTTATTCACCCTGGCGCGGAGTATGATCGCACACTCAGCTCACTTTGGCGTTTCTCAAATTCCTCCACGTGTGCCTGCAACGTCTGACTACTCAATTTCAGACCATCGTTCCACGTAAAAGGGGACGTCCCCGCAAAAGGGACCAGAATGGAGAGTTTATTGTGAACGTCAAACACGAAATATTGGAGGAATCATTGGGCACCGCTTCACCTACTCCTCGGCGCCGTGGTCGCCCTAGAAGAAAGAGTAAGAAATCAGGTGCTTCTTTGGCGTTCTTATTATATTCTGTGAAAGTGGTATTTTAGCTCTGTCGCACTCTTTAAATGGCATTTGTACGCCTGGAATTCTGAGCTGCTCAGCAGTCGCGTCAGAATGCTCATCCAGTATAGGTTTGGAGGCCTAAATCATAACTACCTATTACTATTATACTATTACTGCCTGTCCGACACTGTAATAGTATTTATTTCAGCTACAAGTGTTAATGCGTCCATGCTGAGCTATGATATAAAACCAATTAAACTCTTGCCGCCGTCCGACTTGGTCGATGTCAGAGGTTCGCGTCGATTCTTGTTCATAGAAATTCATGATATCATACTAGTTCCAGTTGAATTTTTCTTTCATTCCTGTAATTTAATGCACGCCTTTTCAGAACTGTGGGATCATTACGTCGCACGCGCCGAATACCATCCGATTCTATCCAGTTCAATTGCGCGTCTTTCGAAGTCGAGGTCTTCACGCGTGCAAGATAGGAAAGCTCTTATTCGAAAAAATAACGCAGTTGAAACGAATTGAAGAGAGTGTGAGTATCGTCAAAGTGTTGCTGTCATATTCCACGACTTTTCACTTTTCTAGACAGTTCTTACCATAGTTCGCACAATATGTTTTTACAGATTGGTCAAGGAATCAAACAGATTACTACTTTTGAGTTCTTCAACTACGTCAATCCTTTGTGTCCCGGTGAGTGGGGACATCACAGCTGATCAACTATGAGATATATGATCACCCAATTCACAGCATGAGCACCACAGTTAGCGTGGAATTTGCCTCCGCATTCTATTGGATTGTTTTTTTGTCGAGTTTTTTAGTCTTCAGAAAATATCGCTGCGAGTGAGAGCGAATCATACTGTGCGGTGCCAGTTCAGCTTGTTGTGACAGCCGCTCCTTTTTCGAAACACCCGGCTGTTAATACATTAGTTCAGGATCACGCATTACCTTTCGAATATAGCAAAATGCGGCCATGAAGCAAGAATTTATCGCAAATGAATTGATTTAAGGGCAGCTAATTCTGATATGGGCAAATTGGATTAGATAGCTGACACCACTACATTTACACCGATTCTCCGAAAGGTCGCATGTGCGAGAAATCAGCGCAGCAACAGTCCCAGCAAGTTCATTACATACACACTAATGTGATAACGATGCGATAGCCTAGTAAGATCTATCAGAATGTGACTGCAGGCAATACTCAGCCTTTAGACATCTGCTGAGAAGGACTAGAAGCGGCTTTCAAACGTGGGTGTGGATGCTACCAGTCTAAGCCTGCATTCTTCCACGATTTCTAAGACAGTCACTTCGAGCCGACTCAGCTCCTATTCCCCAGCGAAGTTATCCAATGTATGTTTTTTTGTTCAAATCACATTCTTATATCTTGAATTGATGGCGGCATCGTTCCATGCCACTAGTGTCGTAGGTAAAAACCCTGCTGGGGTTGTTGCTTTGAATACACAGATTGTCCGTTTTGTTTCTTGTAAACGGAAGACTGTTTTTGATTGCAAAGGTTACATGGATAATGAGAGCGGAATAAGGTGTATTCAAAATTAGTAGCTAATTTCATCGGCTTTGTTTTTATTTTATACGCATTCTTCAAACATTGTTTTCATTATACCATGCCTTTTTTCACGGTACTCTTCACTTTAGTTAGTCTTTTTTTTGCTTGCTTTTGGGGAGAATTTTCTTACGTGGTTTGTCTAGTATGTCATTTCGCACGATTATATGCTAACATTTGTTGCTTTTCTTAACACGCTATTCAGCGTTATCAGTGCATCTGTTACAGGTCTGAATGACGTGAAACACGAGATAATTTATGATCTCATGCAATGAAGATAAAGTCATTCAGAAAGTAAGTCGCTAATTTGAGTTGGTTTCTGGTAGTTTGAGTATGCACAACATTATTCAGGATGTTTTGACCAGTATTGTTGTACCTTGTCGCAGCACGCACCATCACGAACCTCCCGTGGTTTACTACGCTGTTCCACCAAATGTAGAGAAGAATGCAAAGTATGTTGTTCTGTTGAAATATAGGTACCGTAAATTTCTCAATAGGAGTTGCAAACTGGCAAAACCGTTACAGAATGTCGTAGATTTAGATGCATTCGATTTCTTTACACGTCTGTTGGAATGGTGTTTAGTAGTTGGCTTGGTATTATGATAACTCATTCGTTTGATGCCTTCTGTTCTGGAGTTGGAGGAGGCGATCAATGTTCAACTACGACCTTAAAGCCAGTCGGGACATTTTCCCTCTCCTCGCAGCGCTGCGTCTCTCCGCTATACCACGACCGGTCTCATAAAAGAAATTTCAGTGTTTTGTATAATGCTTTTTGCTTTTTCTCCCTCTAGTGTTTTCTTTTTATTTCACTTCTTTCCGATGATTACAAGCTCAAAACGTGCAGTTCCATCCGCGGTGACTGTATGACATTAATTATTACACCGTAGGTTGGATGTGTAGTGTTGCCAATTTGAAGGCTCAAGATTCGTCGCGTAGTCCCTTGAACGAATACTTTACGGCCCTTTATCTTGTGTCAGCACCCTGTACACGGCTCAATTTCATCGATTGCCGTTGTGGCGCCCAACTCTTACTCAAAGAAGAAAGAACGAAGCGTTACATTACATGTGCGCAGTACAAATCGCCCTTTTTGGAAATGAACACTATAGATTTATTTGGATGTTAACGGTTTGTCGGAGATGAAGTGTTCTTCCTTAAAAGTGGAATGATAAACGAAAAATGTGAAACTGAAAATCAAATTAATCTATTATTTCTAGTGCGCGGACTCCTTTTTCTCAGACTATTTTCTTGTAGTTGAAGGTCCACATTGAGCAGAAGTATCATATATTAGGTTCGTGTAAGCGAAATATATTCTATTGGCTTTGACATATTTTAACCCAGCTCATATTCAAACGGTTTTTTTTCATCTCGCAGACTAGGAAGATCAAGAGGAGAGCAAGAAAGCGAAGAAAAAGATTCCCCTGTTGTGAAGGTTAGTCGCTTTGATCACTGCAAAATGGCGTGTAACAATGTGGAATTAAGTGCCGGGACATGCAGGCTCAAAACAATGAAAATACCATTGAGCAGGCAATTGTACTTTGAGAGTAACTTGGCAAACGTGGAACGTGAGCGGTTTTTGAGCAATTCGCCGCTGCTTTGTGTAGGATCACAACGCGATCCATTTCAGGTTTAGCACGCGTTCCTCAATACAAGAAGTGTCGAAGTGATCGCAGAGACATTGTTTCAGGCATTCTTATGGCGTCAGAAAAGTCGCTTGCAAAACATCATGATGAAGATTATCCATCCGGCGTTCGGGAAATCATCAGGTCGTTTATGTGAGTATTAATAGCATCGAATCCTATATTTTACTTTGGAACATGGAATAGAGAGATTACCGATTTCCAGACAACAAGTGACACGGATCAGACGTTGACTGGATGTTACATTCAAGATTACAGAGAGAAAGTGGATTCCAAATTCTTTATATGCGGTTCTTTACGTGTCGAGGTGATAATGTTCGTGTATTTTTGTTCATGCTTCTATATTGTGTTTTATGTTGTTTTTAGAAGCAAAAGCACCTCATTTTCTGGTACAAATCGCCGACGTGCTTTCATTGTGTCTTAAATGACCCTTAATGTAGTGTTTTTGGCGTTTTATTCTCTACTTTGTTTCGCTTAGTTAGCAAGATTTCATAAATAGACAGTGAAGTGCTTCAAGACTATCCACTTTTCATAAACTAATTAACGGATGAACTTAGCCATTAATCTTTTCATGTGGACTTACAAAGGATGTCATCACTTGAGCCGTGACAATTATCAGATTCTATCAAATGCTATTAAGCTCACCGAGCGTGAAGAAATAGGGCAGGGCATACATCGCCATGGCATGTCATCACTACAGGATGGGCCAAAATATTACCAAGACAACTTGTGTTCGTAAAAAGCATAGTAGCTCGATGGATCAAATCAAACACAGAGAAACGTTCGTAGTCCAATCACCTCAAAGTAATTCCAGAATAGAATTGAGATCTGCCACCTGCCGCGTTTACACGAGCCTTCAGATGAAGGGGGATGGCGCGTGCGGTGGCACGCAACTGAGGCGTGTCAAAATGTTTCCAGGCCTTCTGCTCTGCTTTCTTCAGGGGATCAAAGTTTTGTGGGCATTTATTTGCGCTTGCATCAGGGGTGTGAAATACAGAAATCTAGAGCTATTAGGTGGAAGGTTCCATTGTACAATTCTTCGAAAGCACGAACTCGAAAAATCGCTTTTGGAGCATTTTATGATTCTTTATCTTGAATGGCTCGTCATATTGAAAAGATCTTAAGTATAAAGTACTCGAAGCTTACAGTCTGGGTTTTAGATGTTGGCGGTTTTACATCGATATTTTTTCTTTTGGGATTACGATGTCGACAAGGGGAGCTAGTTCCTGCATCTATAATTTCTAGGTGTAACTAACTGTTCAGTCATCGCTTCCCTCTGTGGTGATTCGAATTATTGAAAAGCTGAGCTGTTGCGAAGAGTACCTATACTTGAGACATGCCGCTAGATGAACGGGGCCGGGCAAGCCCTAGTGAGTTCAATTTAAGGACTGAACAAGGTGATGTAGTTGTTTCACTAGTTTTGGAAACTGAACGATATTTAGTTTCAAAAGAAAAAAGACAGTGTACCCTCACACATAGTGCACAGAATAGGAGATGAAAATGGAGCGACTCGGAAAGTGGATTTCACGCCGTAGCGACGCCAGCGTCTTCATATTTTGACCCACCTGTATAACGAGTTTCGTTGAGGGTGGGGGGGGCGTATAACTCGTCCCCGCGTAGTAATGGCTGATGTCATTTTGGACTGGAGCATTTTGTTCAAAGTGATGAGTCGATATGCTCGTGGGAGAGGCAGGAAGTATAGCGCACGCCCCTTAAATCATACCTGGGAGCAGTATACTCATGTTTCCAGTGTTTTGAATGATTAATATCTTGTTATGAGATGTATGCAATACAAATGTGTTGTTTGATCTTTCTGGTTCTCTTATCCAATCTGGTTACAAGGAAATAGGAACTATCTGGGTTTGTGAATGGACACCTCCTGACTCATATCGATGGAAGGGGACGTGGCAGCGACCAATCCCTCCCTGCCGTAGCGGCCGATGGCACACCACTGCCCGAGGGCGATAGTCGTTCCGGTGCAAAATCCGCTCATTCGCAAGTTGAATTGTCAGTCGATTTTTCGCAGGAGAAAGCTCAGTGGTTTGCTTGTGAAGAAAGAGATGATATACTTCCTTAGATACTTTCCTAACTGAGCAATTACCTATGTAAGAGGCGAAAACATTATCTGCCGCAGAGCAAGAAGTTGCGGCATATTTGCTTTATCATTTATTTATTTATGTCGATTTCTCCTCTTTTTGCCTTTTTCTTTTTTAAATTTACAGATTTTCTGTTTAGAAGTTGTGCTCATCTGGTCCTATTGGTCTTATCAATTTTGGTATTAGTGATGAGCATGTAGAGTATGACTGGAGCGTAATCGAGAATATCATGGATGCAAGGTTCAAGCGAAGAACTGAACAGTTAAAGAGCTCGGATGTTGTTCTATGGTGTGTTTCATGTTTTAGAATGGTCTTAAATGTTCTTCATAATTGTGTTTGATTTTTTAATGGTCTGTTACCGCTCTTTCTCGCAGGTATCACTACAAGGATCCTGAGGTGCCCGAGTCCACGAAAAATATGGGAATAACTACACGCGGAAGTCCATCGTCTGATAAGGAAAATAATAACGTGCTTTCACCTTCTCGGAAGACTCCACGTTTATCACAAAAACTATCAATGAAATCGTTGTCTCCAAGGAAAGTCAATGGTTTGGTGAAATCTGTGGTGAAGTCGTTGACACCACGGCCAGACTGTAATCAGCCTAAATCTCCAACGAGGACATTGTCGCCACGGAAGTGTAATGCTTTACCGAAGTCTCCAGAACCAGCACTTTCACCTCGGAAGGCTAATGGTCTACCGAAGTCGCCGGTGAAATCGTTGACACCCAGAGAAATCAACTGCTCGTCGTCTGATGTAGATGCTAGCCTCCCAAGTGGTGTATTTGACCGCATTCCTGGTCTGGCTTGTCCTTTCACAAATAAGATGTTCGACACCATTGAGAAACTTGAGGAGCATCTGCAAGTATCATATCCCATGTTCAAATTCGAGATTATTGTGAGTTTCACCGATTTCGTTTCATGGGGTTATAAAGGCAGTTATTCGTTTAATAAGTCTTTTCCAGAAGTCTACACCTTTTACCATTCATTTTCTTGTATCGAGTGCCATCTCACGTGCGGATTGGGAAAAACCACCAGCGGATCCGGAACATACGAAGAAATTATCAGTGTGAGTTGAAATCAAATAATAGTAGATCTATTATCAGCTTTTATTTGTTTGAAACGTTTCATTTGGTTGTTACTTGGTTTTCTTTGTTTTATTCTGTTTAGTACCTCGACTATTCTTCCAGAGCAGTTGTTTCTCCAAAGAAGAAGATTCTATATGCACCACCTGTTGAGGTGCCAGTCAAGAGAAAGAATGAGCTTCCAAAAGCTCAGTTGATTCCGTATGGAGAAATGTCATTTGTACCTCCAACATACTCAAGGTAATTATGAACCTGGTTCTTTCCAGTCTTTATAGAAAAACTAATTTTTACTCATCATTTCTTGAACTTTTGCATGTTTGAATTTTTTCGTTGTAATTCTAGAGTCCCAGGGCCGTCATCCGCCAAAGTCTATCATTCGGTGATTGAGGACACGTGTGACTGGAAAGGTCACTTGATGGAGAGGGTAGGTTGTTTTTAGACTATTTCGATAGGTCAGTCATGGTTATCTATGCGTTTCTTTTGTTGCTAAAAAAATGTTTAGAAAACTTGTAAAATTGTTTATTTTTTAATTGTTTAGAATATTCGTGATTACATTGACGACACTCCACAAGAGAAAGAGTTTATGTTACTTCACAACCGTTTTCGCGCCAAGTATCGGCATCTAATTGTTGGCGAGAAACTAACGTTGGAATTTTACGTAAGCTTTTTTTTCTGTACAAATTCGTGTTCGAAGGAAGGGAGAATTTTGAGAAAGAAGGCCTCTAACTGGATTTAACTCTTAGCAAAATTCCTGTGCAAGGGGTTGGACGCGTGCAAAATTCCTGTGTAAGGGCCACTATATTCTACTGGGTTTGCATCATTTTCAAACACTCCTCAAATTATTTTTTTTCTAGACGAAGTTCATTGAAAGTTGTGGAATGGAAATGAAAAAGAAGCGTATACGAGCACATTGTGTCGCACGGCTCACTCGACTTGTACAGCAGGACAAAATGACGCCAACCAACATGGCCAATCTGACTCAGAAATTATACGAGTTAGGCCCAAACGAGGCAGACTAACAAGTTTTTCTTTCGTCTGTACTATATGCAATTTATGACATCGGTTTTGCTCACTTTTCAATCCGCTTAAAATTTTACTTTGTGGTATTGCCCTGGATTTTTGCTTTCATTAGGACTCATTATTGATGTGAAGTTTCGATATCATTTTGATCTGAATGGCTGTTTGATGGAATCCTAAGGATTTCTTGCATTCCGGCCTAGATGTATTTTTTTCTGAACAATAATTGTGAAAAATTTCTATTCTTTCGATAAATCTGTACTGCCCGTTAATTCTTATCTGAACGCTTTCCGCTGAATTTATATCGTGGCTTTCGATGGTTTTGTTGTATGATCAGTTTTTGACCTATACAACTATATTTTCGATCTCTAAATCATTAATTTAGACGTGAATTCATGTTTTTTCTTCATTTCTTTTTTATGTACTGCCGTTATTTTTGGAAAGTTGTAGGGATGAGCGCGTTTTGTAAATATACACCTCAATTCGTTCCCTTTGTCTGTTGCGGTAAAACTGCCAGTTTTCATCAAAAGTTTCTTTCTCTGCATACCTCGACGAAGATCATTGTGAAATCGTGTCCTAGCAAAAATGTCAGTTTTTTCTTGTTCAAAGTTTTGTTTCTGAAAAGAATTCTAGGAGTGGTAATTCTATTTTATTCTATTATTCTAGGTTTCATATTTTGTTCTTTACGGTAATGTGCTGTATTTTTAGAAATTATGCACGATGTTCTGTTCGTTATATCGATCAAGTGAATGCTGAACATCTTACAAGTAAAATATATGTCGTGACGATCGTGTGCCCTTTGATCGTTTTGTGCTTGATTAAGCTATTATTTTGAGAGAGGTTCGGTACAGTATTATTATCATTACTGTCGTGAGCTATCAGTTATATCTTAAATTAGTCAGCTAGGATTTTGGCAGTACAGATAAGTTTAGAATTGAGCGTATCCTCATACTCTACTTAGTCAGGGCTTGTGGTATGTAAGGGCGCATGCATAGTCGGTCGTCGGATCGTAGCGATCGTAACGGTCGCACAGCATTAGATGCGTATCGATCGTCAGACTTGCCTGAGTATTCGACGATCGATACGTATCTAACGCTGTGCGACCGTTACGATCGTTGCTGTCGGACGACCGACTATGCATGCGCCCTGAGAGGTTCACCAGCGGGGGCTTGGGAAAATCGTATGGGCGAAGTTTGTGTGTTTGTTTAGATTATTATTTTATTTTCGTCTTGTTTTTGTTCTTTGTGTTCATATTTATCATTTTCTTTAGTATTTTATTTTTACTTTTTGTTAGGGCGGAAGTGGTGTAGTGACAAGTGGCGCGCTCACCACGCGAGCGGTCCGGGATCAAATCCTGGGTCGTGAGTCGCCCGGGCCAACCAAGCCTTCCATCCCTCCGGGGTCGGTTAATTGGTGCTAACTTAGTTGGGGGGGGGGGGCACGCGGCGGCGCGGCAGTCTGCTCACCTGGGCTCTCTCGAGCGAGACAGTGTAAACTCGAACATTCCAGCTTTTCACGCATGTCAAGTGACTGCCCCCACCCCCACCCCCCTAGACTGGCTACACTCCCCCTGGCCTCACGGATTTCCGAAGATGCCAGGTGAGCAGACTGCCGCGCCGCCGCGTGGCCCCCCCAACTAAGTTAGCACCGGTTATTGGTACCAGACTTGTCTGGGAGGATAAAAACACTGACTTGTACATCGGCTGGCCCCCGCAAGTCATTGTATAGGCCACATCGCATTCAAACGCCACTGCGAATGTACAAATGGAAGTAGAATGCGTGCCGCATCCCAAAAAGGGATTGATCAACGGCAAATGCTTTCCTTTATTTATCCTTTATTTATTCATATGCTGTCTGACGCGCGTACTCAAAGTCATGCAATTGGCGGGTTATCACCCTACTGTGGGAATTCTAGCAGTGTTGTTGTGTTTCGCGGCTCTCGCTCGCGCGTTGGCACCATTAATGAGATCGCGGATTTTTTATATTAGCGGACGTGATAAGGCTCACTGTAGTCGGTGCGTGTGTTGGCAATGCACGAATCAATGGGATTATGACGGAGCAAGAATCTATCAACGTTCTGATTGCTGCAAGATGACGATTTTTGGTGGTCATTCCATCAACTTTATTGAATCAAGGAGTTTATTTACTTCATGGTATCTTGAATATGAATTTTGACGATAAATTTGAAAATTAGGGGAAGTTCTATGAGATTTAAGCTTGCACGGGGAGGAAAGGCATTTCGTTCTTCGTTGGACCTATGTTTTTGAGGTTTTTCTGTAGTATGTTTATGGATTGCCTTTCAGAATAATAAACATGATCAGAGGAAGCACAGCGTGAAAAGTGTGGCAAAGGTTGTGACGCGCGGTGGGGGGCCGCCGTCAAAGTGTCCCTGCGGGACTGCAGATAGTCGGCGCGCCGCGCGTCGGGCTCATGCGTCGATGTGTTCTTGTTACTGTGTTCTACCTTTTGCCGCCACTGGGATTCACGGCTAACAAGCCTCTGTCCAGGCATGGATCGATAGCGAAGGCTGGGGCGGTATTTGGCACCGGTTGGTCGGACTCAATAAAAGGCATGATCCTTCCATCCATAGTGATTTTTTAGCATAGTGGGCTACTTTCGATCCTTGAGGAGTTGGTTGATTCATCTGCACGGGTGAGTTTTTGTATATCTTAGAATATCATTCGGAGTTTATCGGGGCGGGATGCGGACAAAGATTCCTAATATATCATCATATTTATGTTTCTTGTTGATAGTGGCGGCTTTTTAATTCAATACAGATAGGACAGTAGCGGGTGTCTCAGACAGCAGAGAACAAAAAAATCTTGTAGTGCATCGAAGCGCTCCGCAGACGCCGTTGGTAAGAGAGGTTCTATCGCGTTCGTATACAATGTGGGGGTGTTGGCAATCTCAAAGCGTTTGGTTAGGCGCGAAGGCGGAAGTTTACGAAAAACACATTCGACTAGAAGTCTAGGAGTGGAGTATGGTCCGGTGGTGACAGGGTTTGAAGAAATAAATCACATGCTTGTAGTGAGTAAAGTGAGCTCTCTCTGCTAGAGCAGCGAAAGTAAGACGGCGAATGGGTGGGCGGCGAGCGCGATCGGTACGGGTATGAGCACTGTTGAGACCGCTGGCTCATACTCTTCGCTGCGTAATTCGCACCTTCGAAAGACCAGCAAGCTTTTATACTAGATGTCTTCTTACCAGCACCGTTCCGGCCCACATGTATTTTTTTGTACAACATTTGAAAAATTCTTTCTTTCGATAAGTATATCTGGAAACGAAAGGATGTATGGAACCGTCTTTTTGAAGGATTGGGTTTTTGCAGCATGAATCGTGAAGTTGACTGTACAGAGTTTCAAGTAGTAGGTTAGAATCAAAAGTATGCTTGAATGATTGGTGGATAGTAATTTTGAAGAAACCCCCCCCCCTTTTTTTTTTTATCAGATGTGCTGTTTGCCGGACAAAATGGGATATTGAGGGGAGATAGATAAGTTTACGGGCAGACTGTTTCTATTTACGTAATGCATTCCACTCGGGTTCGTCAGTGGTCAGACGGAGGCTCTTTTCTGTGGAGTCCCGTGGAGACCTGCAGGTGGTGGGGGTGCGATAGGGAAGCCCCCCCAAAAGATGGGTGTTGTGAAAATTCAAAATCGGCCAAACGCGAAAGGCCTTGATTGCACTGCGCCTTGGACGCTCATGTCGTTGGGGGAGGGGGGGGGGGAGGACGTTGAGGAGAGAGAGCCGCGTACAGTACTTGGCACTAATCCTCAGAGAGGGAGAGGAATTCTGGGGGAGATGCGAGCAATTCTTCTTCTCCCTGGCGTTTCTCCCCTGTGTCGGGCTTAGTCCTAATGTCACCTGCTAGTTTTGACTAGTGATTTTGAATGTCCCCCTAAGGCCATGAGCGCCCAAAATTGCTATGCCCAAAGTGTGTAAAGAAGTAATCAGTGGGAATTCGGGTAGTTAGTGCCGATTCACTTATTCATGATTCATGGCACAGTCTAGTGTTCAATTTGGTCAAAAGTTAATTGGCAGTGGTGTGCTAGATATTCTAGCCAGATTGCTAGTGCTGAGCACTTAGCTGCCTGCCTGAGTCGATTGCAATCCATGTATCTGTATAAGAAAAGTATTTAGTTTGGGCTGACAATCATTCGTAGTCTACCCAGTTGCGCCTGTTACTGAGTGTGGAATGATTCGGATGCTTGATTTCATTGGAATTTGACTTTCTTTTGCTGCAAGATACGTTGTGTTTCGACAGTCTCCTGTCACGAGAGATTTGTTCATTATTTATCAGATAGAAATCCTACTCCCATATGGTGTTGTCCATGGATCAAAGTGTGCTAAGGGTCTCGATTGATGTGAAATCCAACGACCGACCATTTCCACGATTTGGGCAACCACAAAGGATTGGTGAATATGCGGTAGGTGAATTTTACGCTCTGGCGTAATCATATTTTCCTATTATTTTTTGCGTTAGCCCTGCGAGGAGGATTTTATTGCCAGGTGACACGAGACAGATGTGTGGTATCTGGGCGTGAAGATGCTAAGTATTTGTATGAAGCTGCGCTGGCCGATGGCGGACGAGTACGATTCGACCTGAATAAGGGGTTTAGCACGTTCGAAGAAAAGGTGATTTGATGATTTGTGCAGTATTTCGGCGATTTTCGGTCAAAAATATGGTCGATAGGAGATCGCCACAATACGATGCGTGCCGTTGCGGCAAGGCAGATGCGGTGATGTAGCTTTGATACCGAACCGCTTTTGCCAAGGAATAAGGTCTGATTGGAGATTTCAAATGCACTAGAAAGAATCAGTAGTTGATCTCGAATATTTGAATACTTAGTATACTTTTGCTGAACCTTTTTTTGACGATTGTCCACCTATCAAGCCGCTCATGAACGGTATCTCTGAATATCATAGATATAAATAGCTCTGGTGACTATTAGATTGCTAGATTGCGTGTATATCTTTCGTGGTTGATTTTTTAGAAGTCAAGCACTTGATTAACAATTTTTCGAGTCTGGAAGATTTTCCTTAGAAACATTATATCAGTTTTTCCAAGAGGTGGTTGTCAATTCACTGCTCTTCTTGGTTCATTTTTGATGATGAATCTGCTAATTTTGGTTTTTTGGGAAGGTGACGAACGGCTTGATGTGTTACTCGACTGGATCGCCTCGCAGGCACCACGAGGTGGCCCGCTGAAAAAGGTATGAGGTTTTTCATAAGTAATGAATACCATGTTCACACTGGAATCTTCTGAGTATAATTCGAAGACCTACACCATTTTTTCATTGTAAAGTTTGGACGGGGGCAATCCCAAGTGGCGCAGACCGTTGTTTTTCAAATTTGGTGAATTCCGTAAATAATTCCTGATCCTGAGCTCGATTTTCTTTATTTTTCCTCTTTTCTATGAGTTGTTCCAAATCTTTTCGTAAGCTCGTATGCCATGTTAGCTTTCTGAACAAAGTATTTGTTCATTTACCTCCCAACACGGAGGTGGGTCAAAGGCGTGGCCTATCCCATTATTTCATGAGAGTCGAGAGCTCATTGTGGTAGAAAAGTGGAGCAAAAGAGAAAGAAGAACCAAGAGGTGTTTCCATGAACGAAGAACTCTTCCACAGCTTTTTTATTCCACACAACCTCTATTTTGTCACTATAGTGAACCTGAGTTTGCGAAGGCTTGATTTTGAAAATCGGTTTCAAGAAGCCAAGATTGTTTATGCTATTCTTTCATCAGGTTCTACATGAAGCTGATTTTGTGTGTTGGCGTGGCCTTTTAACCCGGATAGCTGCGACCCCGTTCTCTCCGAAAGACCCGTGGGAGTTCGCAGCAGCACGAATTGGAGGAGTGATTTTCCTGTGCGAAAAGGAGACAGAAGAGACTCGTCAGAGGTGAGGAGTACTCGTCGGGTTGAAGACTTCATTTCAAATTTCTTTGTAGTCTCGAGGAAGCCCACCTCTGCTGCACTCAATATCGTGTTTGCTTAACATACGCGTGCTTAACAGTCCCTCCTTTTGCCTTCTCCCTAATTAATACCTATTGTTATCACATCTGCGTTCTGTGCTCCAATAGCTTTCCACTTCGGATTTATCCCTTATTGATAGAGTTCTTGAATTACATGGTTTGCTGAGGATCGAAAATTAGACTGTAACTACTCCTGAATTCTGGTGCTAAAAGTACTACGGAAGTAGGATGCCTTGTTTGGAGAATAGTCATGTTAGCCTTTTCGTGTCTAGACCCAGTGAGCCTATAATACTTAGCTACAGTATCATTACTTTAGGAAGGATTCGATGACTCAGAGAGAAAAAATCATGTCATATTGGGGATTCAAGTTCGAGCAATATATGACGGTTGCTGAAAAAGGCGTAAGTCGCTTCAGTTGTCTTTTATGTAGTGCAAGCAGGGGCTGAGACAGGGGATAAACTGAAAACGTGGTCGTATTTGGAAATGAAATAGAGGTGATAAGTGAGGTAGCAGTTAAAAAGAAGACAAGAGAAACAGTCAAAAGGAAGATTCTTCGGTCTGATTTCTGTTTTTGACAGAATAAATGGTAGCTAATCTTTTCCGTGTGAACCAGGGTCGACCGTCCGTTCGCATTATTCGAACAAGAGTGTCGCATTTGTGATTTAGGAAAGGGGAGATCGCATTTTAGGGTGGAGCAAAGTTAAGTACCCCTGTAGAAAGTGTGAATGGGGGTCTTACAATCAGAAAGGGGGTTGTGTTTGACGGGTTTTTAAGAGTTCACGAGTCATATGAAAGTTGGGCTGTGTTGACTGCTCTCAGAATCAAATACTATAGAAAATGATGGTGAGGGTGACCATCAGGGTAGGGATGGGAGGGCTCGTATTGGGCGAGCCTTCTAAGACTGGAAGTGGTAGTGAGGGGTTGCATCGAGACCCCCTAAAGGGTGGGAGGTCGCGAAATTTTTGAAAAAGTGCGAACGTGACGGTTGACCCTGGTGTGAACGCGTATGCTGTGCTGTCTGCTCAGAGATGCACTGCGCCAGATACTAACTTGGATTAGAGATCAGCGGTTGTATGGAACCAATTAAAATGAGGGGGTGCCGCACAGAGTGTGGGCTTGCGTATACTTGTACGAAGTGCGCTCTTTTTGTTGCCGCCGCCTATAGTTTTAGATCAGGTCCCTGCTTTTATTTATAGTAGGCATATTTTTTTTGCCTCATAAAGTATCCCGAAATTCTTGTACACATGCTTACGAGATTCTTGCCATTCGTTATTTTTTTTTAATTCTTTCCGCAGCAGTCAGGAACAGTCATAGCGAGAGGTGTCAATACAACCATTTCATGATGCTTTCCTGCTTTTGCGCTGTATCGCAGTTCAACGTTCTAGGGTGTAAGGGTTATATGCAGGGACCGAGGATAAAATGGGCGATGCCCCAGCAACCTCATCGGGGTACGCCATGCATTCATTCTCTTTTGGAGATCGGGTATGTATTTGAACGCATACCTTCGACCTACACTGTGATCTGCTTGGTAAGATTATTTTCAACCGGCTGCTCTCGATACTATCAGTCTGTACTGGCGCAAGAGGTTCAAGGCAGGGAGGTTAGAAGATTTGGTTCGTTTACGTTGGTGTGAACGTGTTTGACCTTCTGGCAATTACACAACTTCTGCCCTTGATAAGGGTTATGGTTCTCGAGGATTGGTTTCCTACCCATGAAATTACAACGCTAATTGTAGTACATAGATTCTTTTCATCAATGGTAGGAAAAAAGCCTCTTCTTCTGCTGGCCATTAATAATACCTGAAAAAAAGGATTCTGTTGTTATCCGAACCAGAATTTTGCTGACAGCCTTGTACTATAGGGGCAGCCGAATGTCAGCGAGCGGGTGACGTGCCGAGAAGAATTCGCGATGGTTGTCAAATCCACTCTTGCCGCAACCGTTGGACGTCCTTTACGGTTGGTATACAGTGGTGAAGTGGATGCCATCAATAAAGGTAGGTATTGAAGACCTTTCTGTGGTTATTTTATAATCGAACACGCAAAATGATGGATGCAAATTTGATCGCATACGGTACCTCCCACTGCAACGTGCTTTCTGCCACACCCATGCAGTTCAGACCTCCTGCCCACTCCCGATTTCGGGTGATGACTACCTCATCCCAAGAATCTTTAGTAGTTTCCTTCCTCGCGTACCTTGAAGCCCAGCGGTACACTCTTAAGGCGAGTAATACAAGGGGGGCTTAGTGTTTTCTGGCTCTCAGGACATTTATAGGAAGGTCCCTAATACCTTTCTCTGCCAGATAAACTTTTCCAATCACTCAAGACGTTTGAAGGCTCATTCAACGATTATGTCAGGTAAATCGAGAATCTTACAAGTAGAATAGAGCTGCATCCACACTGCGGAGAAAAGCACTGCGGACAGGAGTTTGTAAGTCAAGACTAGGCGGAGAGACCACAAGCAACAAAGGGGAGAATAACGAGAGAGCATGCGCGATGAGTAGAGATATAAACACACCCTGCCCAATAGATTGCCGGGTGGAAAAGTGCACTACACTTGGCAGCCAAGTGACAATGCACCAGAACCTTGTTACTTGGCTGCCAGTGGATGCAGCCTTCTTTTTCGCAACGACATCTGTCTGAGTAGCGTGCCTGCATCTCTGTCACCGCCATGCTCTCTCGTCATTCCTTTCCCTTCGTTTTGGCACGGCTCTTCGTCTGTCGAACCTTGTATTCACTGTAAAAAGTAAGCCCTCTATTTTCTTTTGATGTTTTTGCTTCTTTTCTTTACTGTCAAGCCCGTTTTCGTACGAAAACTTTTCAGTAAAATTACTACTTATTTTCGATCGTGGAATGTGCCTTTAAGTTTGCTTGGAGTAGTTGTGTGAGAATGCATATTACTTTTAAATTAATGTTTTCAGATGGAGAACCGATCGAGTTGAAGACACAACGACATGCTCTTGAAGGCACGTTTTGGAAGCAAAAGAGCTTGAAATGGTGGTTGCAATCATTTCTTCTTGGTATTCGAGACATTATTGTTGGTTACCGTGACGACGATGGGATTGTAAAAAAGGTACATTTATCGTCTGAACAAGGAGCTGAGTATACATAACCTTTCACGAAGCGTGGGGATGATGCAGTGGCAAGGCCCTTTATCTCCTCCTTACTAACGCGGTCCAAAACATATTTAGCAGCCCGAATTCGTAAGAACTATGCCTTTTTTCGAAGATAGTACCAAATTTTCATATGACTTTGTCAGGAAATTTGTTCAAACATGAAGCACATATAATTCTTCGGTGAGTCCTGTCGTTACAGTGAGCCATTGATCCCCAGTTGATTCCTTGATGTGAAAAATACGCAAAAAATTATGTAGAAGCGGTTGGTGAACGCCTGGTCCCACAAGCACACCTCCGTGGCAGGCCACATAGGGCCGGCGTGAACGTGTTAAGTCATTGAAAGGCAAATCCTTTGCAGGTTGGATTCGTGCATACGGATGAGTTACCAAAAAGCGGTGAATGGTCCGGGAATGTTTGCATGAATGTGTTGTCCAGTGTATTAACGTCGGTACGTCATAAGTTTTTCGTAACAAATTTTTGTTTTGAACAGTGTTTTATTTAAAATAATTTGATTTTTTTTCTGTAACACCCTGATTTAGTTGTCAGATGAGACAGTAGCGGTAGAATTTGCCTTGAGAGGAGCGTTGGCTTCTTAGCAAATGGAAAAACGTCACTGTTGGAACAATGAGAATAAGTTTTGCTGAATTTTGACTGTGCAGTCCCAAATCCTTACAACCGCATATTCCCTGATTTTGTGGTAGCCGTGGTCGCCATAAAACTGGATATTGCTCGTTCTAATTTTTCCAAGCTTACTCGGGCGACAAAAAAACAGCAAAACATAACAAGCAATGTTGCGATGTAAGATTCTTTCTCAAGGTTTCCTCGGATGGGCTCAATTTATCAGCAGCGATACTTAATCTTCCAGAATTCAAACCCAGAAAAACAGCTTTTACTACTTTCATGATACTAGTTATTTAAGCTGCGTGATTTGCTAGAAGAAGACGGTGAAGCATGCGTGGTCCGCTTTGAACAAAATCGTGACGAAATTACGATTCACTCCACTCCGTTACCTGATATCGATTTCTTCACCTACGCGTTTCGTGTACATTTTCAATTTGGAATAGAAGAGGTCTATGTTGTTGATTTACAGACCCTTTATTGTCGATCTACAGTACCCCTTCACTTTACGATATCGTTGCTCAACTATTTGTTTCCCTCACTCTGATCTCTATCCAGTTTACGTTGTTTTCACATTTGCGGCGTGTCCAGCGGACCATCCAGTTGTCCTCATGGACTGTGGTGCGTAATCTTGCCAAAACAATGTTTAAGATTTCGGGTCTATTCCAGTTAGGGGGCATCATGATGCAGTTTCTCGGCGAACTAGTGTGAACTCGAACATTCCAGCTTTTCACGCATGTCAAGTGACTGCCCTCACCCCCCTAGACTGGCTACACTCCCCTGGCTCGGAGTTACCCTAGCTTTCTGAAACTGATCATGATGCCCCCCTAATGAGCAAGATTCTGTTTATGATAGCGATTCCTTGACATGATGAGGATGCTATTATTTGATTAGAAATTTTCAAGTTGTGTCAAAAGTCCGGGGAGTCTGTGGCGTTTTTGGCTAGATGAAATTACGCGTTGTTGAATTACTTTCACAGTTGCTAGTGTGGGTTATTGTGGTTAGATATGAAGCTGATTGTTTATTTGTCGAGATGTTTGGTTGAAGATATCCAATGCAAACTGCAGGCTTTGAATTCATTTGCCGAAGGGAGTGGCGGAGTCGATTGGCATGGCGCTCTTTTATTGTGGGTCCTTCTGACCGTTATCGATGGGAAAGATCGACCATAATAAGCAGGTAGCCGATTCCGGCGCCAAGAAATTGTGTTCAAAGGAGCGGGTGATGTTGGTACGATTCCGTACCTGAAACAAAGCAATCGATGACGATCTGTGGTATTGAATCTTCTATGGATGTTAAACACAGTGTCCTACGTCTGCGAGATGTTTGCGCTTCAGCACTTATTTACAAATTATTGTTGTCCATGTTGGATTGTCCTTGTTATGATTGATGAATATTTTGTTAAAGCGCGAGTTTATTTTACATGGTTAGGTACGGTAAGCCGCTTTCATAAGTTTTCTTTGTCATAAATTTCTTCATTGTTGTTGGAATGAAAACATTGCAGCGATTAGTTAAGATTGTAACCTAAATCACCTTAGTTTTTTACCTCCTTCTTCCCACATTTTTTCTCCAAAATCTTATAAGGTAGCTCCGAGGTACGAATTTTCGACCTTAATTTGTCCATTACACCATGACCAGGGCAACAGTTACTTTATCAAAGAGAAATGCTACACTAAGGGGCGTTTTTTTCCGTATGGGGTTAGTACATTGTAACCAGGGTTTTTTCTTGATATTAGGTATAGATCAACGCCAATATTGGACTATTGGGGAGAATTTGTGGGAGTGACTCTTTTTAGGCAAGGTTGCTTACGGATTCGTATAGGGCGGGGGGGCAAAAAAAAAAGCCCTTCTCACATTCAAACATTTAAATACACGCTGCAGAATTAAGAATATTAATTGGATATAAGATGCAATTTAATCTATTGAATTTATCATAGTAAGCTCTACGCCGACGACCCAGAGATTTTCCGTTTTGGAAAGCATGCATTCATGGGACGGGCGCTCACGATGGTCGTTGACAGTCCATAGAACTTTACGACTCCTGAACGCTGGCATGAAAAGCAGGTCTTGAAATTCACAGCTTAGTGTCCTTAGAAGTATTCACATGTAATCGTTTGGAGAATACGTAGCAGCTCGATGGGCATGAGTGAATTTCGTATGCCTCGTAGAGCTTGATCAGTAGCCGTGACGTTTATTCTGTGGGTGGAGGCAGTGAAGGATAGGACTACTTTGCTTTTGAGGGGGAAGCCTTAAGAACTCTTGCCGGATAGAACCTTCAAGAATCCTGATGCGACGAAAACTTGATGATGACTGTGTCATGGGGGAAGTGACTTTTTAGCCTCTCTTGTATATGTAATGAGGTGTTTCTGGAGTGGCAGCCCTTTTCTGAAACTAATCATCTGTGCAGGAGTCAGGGCTAAGGGGAGGTAGGGGTTCGGAGGGGTGGAAATTGTGCGAGGGAGAGTATGTGGTCGTGGGGTGGGGAAGCTTCGGCTGACGCACTTATTCTTTAAAGGATCAAGGTCTGGGCTCGACGCTTAGAGAAGTAATTCCGTGCTGGAGTTGATAGGTGGGGTGACCATTACAGTAACTTTACACCTTGAACTGGTTAGCCGGGGCGTTGCAGAGTTTCAATCGGGACGGCTCCGTTAATCCGGAGACGCCCCCTCGGAAGTGGAAACTGCTTTAGTGGGAAGAGGTTGTTAACGGGCCTTGTCCTACGGTTCTTGCTTAGTTTTTCTGCTTTCTTTCATTCGCAGTATCTTATCAGATTTCAATCGCTAACCCGCCTTACTGAGCCCGAACTTTTGATCCTTTAATCCTCGTTGAATGAAGACGAAGTTATTGTGACCATTTATTGAAGAAAATTTAGCAGTATCAGCAGTATACGAAATTTCTGTTTTGATAATGTTGTGATTAATTTCCTTTGACGAACACTTCGAATGCTTCAAGACACAGAAGTCCAATTGCGAGTACAATTTGCAGTATACATGTAATTGTCCACAGGAATTGTATGAAACCATAGTAATGACGAACACAGGCGAATATCAGAATGCTCAACACGGTCGGAGTGAACAAGGCTGAAACGAACAACGGTGAATTACCCTCATCTTTTCATCATGGCTTCTGAGCGACTCACCTATGGAGTACTGTATTTTTACCGTGTTTTCCGGTTCACGAATTAGTTGACGCAGATCAAAACGACCGTCGATGTTGAAGTACCTGAAATCGAGCCACTGATCAAATTTCACACTTGATCCTGCCCAAAATAACGCATGTGCTCCAGAATGGGTGTCTATTTCATGGGTCCATCCAAGTTTTGGTCCTCACGAATGGCATGCTCATAAGTTTGGGAGTAGTCTTAAAGGCCAGTGGCCCAATAAATAACTGTTTGTTGCAAATCAAAGTAGAGATGCCAATAGATGCGGGAGTGAAGAAAAGGCAGGTGAACAGCCCAAGACCTGCAACCCTTGTTGTAACAGTCGATTTCCGAGTTTGATGAAGACTCGTCGGGACGACATTAACGTGAACACCCTGCTCTCCCTTGCTGCTAAAATAGCTAGATTTCAACGGCAAGGGATGAGCAGCTGGGGTAGCCAGTCGAGGCTGGTAGAGAGATGAGGCGTTCAAGGGAAGGGTAAGGCCTTGGCGGACCGCTATCAGGGCGCCCTTCACTTAAAGGCACGTTCCGGGATTAGGCGCGCTCACCTGTTCCATCCCCAGGGGTAGTAGACGGACAAGCGTTGATGTCGCGCCCCTTTTGCGGCTTGAAAGTGCGCGACAAAGGCGCAAGGAAGCTCGTCCGACCCGCAACTCACACCTTCGTCCGCAAGCCCCACCCTTCCGCTGTCGGTTGCCACGTGGCGCTGCTTGAAAAGCGCGGGCGCATTTGAGGCAGCGGTCCCATTGCGGCCAATGTCATTGGCACTGGAGCAACTGGAGCTGGGTTCGTAAAACTCGTCCAACACGCCCCTTCTCACAACAAGCTCCTCTATTAATTTTCGATGACGGCAGGGGCTATTTCTAGCGCTTTTTACACCTTTTTGGTTTTATTCGTCGATTCTTTCAGAGTTACTCACCATCTGCGGAAGATGTGAAAGGTGTACATGGCAAGCAAAACATTATAATATACAAAGGCGAACATGCTAATTGAACCGGACTCGGAGTAGATCATAAGAATCTGAATAATACAAGTAATAGGAAAGGATAAAGCATTTGCCGTTGATCAATCCCTTTTTGGGATGCGGCACGCATTCTACTTCCATTTGTACATTCGTAGTGGCGTTTGAATGCGATGTGGCCTATACAATGACTTGCGGGGGCCAGCCGATGTACAAGTCAGTGTTTTTATCCTCCCAGACAAGTCTGGTACCAATTAACCGACCCCGGAGGGATGGAAGGCTTGGTTGGCCCGGGCGACTCACGACCCAGGATTTGATCCCCGGACCGCTCGCGTGGTAAGCGTGCCACTTGTCACTACACCACTTCCGCCCTATAAGTAATGAAAATTTTATAGATTCTTCTAGTACTTCGTATAATGTATGCTATACGAAGTTATTGCCATAGTGTATCTCCAAATGTGAGCGTTGAACTTAAAGGCAGTGAACACGATGACAAAAGAGCGGAACAGTTCTGATGACGTCATTGGGCGCATTAGTAGATCAGACCCCTCAGCGCACTGCAAGATGTAATTGAGCCTTCCCTACGTCCTTCTTCCAATGATGCTCAATGACTGGATACGGTGGTAATACACATACAGTCGATATCCGAAAGTTGGGGTAGGTGTGGCACCGGAATTGACGTGCACTTGATAGAAGTTGCGTGGATGAGCTGTTTCCAGCATGCTTTGCTGATATCCAGCGATGCTGGCAACAGCTTATCCACGCAACTTCTATCAAGTACACGTCACATCCGGTGCCACACCTACCCCAACTATCGGATATCGAGTATATAGCAAAGTGCATCGCATACATTAAAACGTTGGTAGCGCAATCGCCTCGCACGATACATGTCTATATCAGAGCGTTTGGACCGTGATGATGCATCGCAAACGGCATCATGCGCGTCCCCAGGAGCGCGTTATCTCGCAGCGTATACGCCCTTATTAATTCTCGGGTATCCGACGGAAGGCCCGTCGCGCGGCCAGAAGGCGCAGTTAGCGCTCGAGTTGAGCGCCTGATGTGCGTCGTAGCCGTGCATTGGTCACATTCCTCTTAACGTGCCTCGAAATCACTACAGTACGCGCTGCGACTCGTCCGCTGACTCTGTCGACGAGCCTCCTGTCGGGTACCATAAGTTTCCACATAGAGCAACGGCTTGAATAGCCTGTCGCATGCGCATTGCCCCCACAATGCAGACCCTGTATGTGCCGAGCAACGTGCTATTCTTACTTACCACTTTAAATTCATATCGAACGGCGTAAATTAACATAGGATCATTCACAATTGCGATTCCGCTGAGGGGCATTCGACTTACTCCTCTTGGTTGTGCTGTGAAATGGTAGGCAGCGTTCAGAGTTGGCGTTTGCGCGTGCGATGGGGCGATTAGGCGATTGCTCGGTGGGCGGATCAAACTCGATACGTATCCTTGCCTTGTCGCCTACTCGCTACTCGTATTATTCGCTGACTTGTTCAATCGTCTAATCGATACGTATACTTTCTTGTTGAATCATCGTGCCTAATCGTATGTACGATCGCTAACTCTAAACGCTGCCCTATCGACTTGTTGCGCGTAACTCGTCATCCATTGTCACCAGAAGGCGAGTCAGTGTGTAAGCAAGCCAAGCAGGAACCAGTGAGTGGGTCCGAAGGGTTTAAATCTTCTCTCTCGAGGCTTGACTCTGCGCATGACACCTTGCGGACTCTTTGCCGTGCACTGTCAAGGATCCAGATAGCTCTTCAGATTGATGCCTACGAAGCTCAAGCCAGGATATGGAATTTCATGCTGCTCACATCGCCATGACATACACTCGCACTCACTTACAGGAATATTGTCAAAGCAGGAACTTACTTGAATCAGGCAACAGCAAAACTGAAGTGCTCTCGATATTCCAGCAACATACGGGAAGTCGTAATTTCTGACAACATTCTTCCAATCCTAAAAAGGCTCAACTCAACTGGTGAAACTGTACAAAGTTATTACTGCTTACCGAGATTGAAGCACGTTCCGTTGCTTGTGCTGCTGCTTCAGAAGCAGCAGCTTTCTCCTTACCAGTTTTACCAGTCGTAGTTCAATAATGAACTTTACTCCATGAAATCCTGTGTTATCATACGTCGATCACGTGTTTTGAGCTTGAGGTGGAGTAGGTTTCATTTCAGCTACTCGGCAACTCCTCTGCGGTGATGGTTGGTGGTATGGGTGGTTGACTGATATCCAGATTCAACTGTTAGGGTTCTTTCTTAGGCATATAACTACCCTACTCTCGTCTATAACTGTAGATCTGCACAACTTGGTTGTGTCATAATCCAAGTAAGTTTTAAAGAACATCACTCTAACGCTGCATTCGCACTGGTGCTCATGCCCTTAGGGGGGGGGGCGTTCAAAACAAGGCATTCAAAAACCGCTGGTAAGTGAAACTAGGACGAAGCCCAGGATTGGAAATAAAGGCCAAGTAGAACAAGGTTGCTCACATCTCTCTCAGAAGCCTTTCCCCTCACTCCCAACTCATTTCAATGTCCTCCCTAAGGACACGAGCGCCCTCGCACTTCCGCCCGTCTACGTGAGTGTGTGCTTTGGGATGGGTATTGATTTTGCGCGTGCGCGCTTAATGACTCCTCCTCAAAGCCATTCGTCAAGTGGTAGGGCAGAAGTGCGAAAGCAGCCCGTTCAGAGTTCTATAGCCATATAGAAATGTTTTGTAGATCTTTGTGCTTTATTCTAATGCCGACTATTTGGGAACGTTCACATTTGTGTTTTCAACAGCACTTTGTCTTTACAATCTCTACGTGATTGGGAAACGATGGTAAGGAATGGGTTCGAATCCGTTATTCGGAAAGCTGGCGTTCGTTGCTGTTTGATGACGCCGTTGATCGTCATCGGTGGATCAGACTCAGCGCGCGATTGGTACTGCATCACGATGCCCTTCCAGCCATGGCGTTCAATGACGTCATCGAGAACGTACCTCCTTCCAGCCACTGTGATCATTGCCTTTAGGTTTTCATAGCTTTTTAGCATCTAATGAATTTGCTAGATCTAATCACATCATGGGTGTGTTTGGAATGCTTATCGATTTTACGCGCAAAGCGTCGCCTAATGCGGTCCTCGCATGATTCATTCCCTTTGATAGTTGGCATAGAGCAATTAAATAATGATCCCGCCTAACACACTTCACCTCTTCGTGGGGCATGTTGGAGGTGATACGTCTGCCAAATCAGTACAGCTGTAAAACTTTCAGAATTCCCCTGACTTGCTCGAAACAACTCCTTCTGCTCCTAAAAAATGGCTGCTCCTACAATACAACATTCAAAACAAGGGCATTCAAAAACTCGTCTAGGTTCTCTTAGGACTCGAGCCGAGGAGGGGCGGAGCTAGTAGGAACAAAAATTGCTCACGTCCTGTCCTTGAATCTCTTCCGCTCCCTAAAACTCAGTCCAAGTACTGCGGGTGGCTCACTCACTTGAATCTACCCCCCCCCACCCCTTGAGCGCCCCGAGCTCAAAATCACAAATAGGACCCACACCTGTTGAAATTTCTCTACTAACGGTTGACCATGCTCCAGTATGGGGAAGAATGCATCGTTCCCAGTGCCAACCATTCCCTGGGACCCTCCCAACGAGGGGGCCAAGGTTTTGGAGTGGTGTTGAAGTTTTAAGTGATGCGTTTCAACGGAGGCCTAATGGAAACCATTGACCACATAGAGGGATCATGTTTGGTGTAGGAGATCAGCGGGGCGATGGTTACTCTGAACACTAGAACTAATGTAAAAAGGCCCTCGAAGGAGAGCAAACAAATTGCTCATTATCATCACTCCGTGATTTCGTTCCCTCTCTAACGCTTATTCCCATTACAGTAATTGTTTCACTCGCTACCCCCCCCCCCACTACAAGAACTCTTTTTTCAAACGTGCCATAAGTAAACGGTTAGTTTTCTAGGTACAATAATATTGATGGTCGTTTTGACATGCGCCAAATGGTAAGAGAGCCGGACAGTCAGTTAAAAGTGTTGTATGCGGCAGGCAAGTTCTTCCCAAGTTGTTTCAACTGATTTGATCATTATCGATAACTGATCGAACCTTGTTGCAGAAGTGTTCACACCAGCGGTCATCGGTTTAATGGTCTATTTGATGGTCCGTTTTCCTAATGGAAACTTCTTGTGGGCGTTATCGTGTTGTGTCCAAATTACGGCAGCCTTAATATTAATCTTCGCTGAAGTTTATGAAGTATTCGTCAAAGGTTATTAAGTCGGCAAGATAGAATAAAGATGTTCTTATCTGACTATTTGGCACAATTCTTATGAATGCGATCGAAGGGAAAATCAGGAAAAAAAATTCTTGAAAAGAAAAAAGGCTGAAAGAAACAGGAGTATGAAGTGAGGTACCGCCAAAATCAAAACTTTCTTTCCGGGGGAAAATGTTGGAACATATTACTATCTGGGCGCATCCATAACCAATGAAAAATACTCATGGCTTTAGAGAACACTCACCGAGGACGTTTGAAAAACAGCAGTTGCTACGAGGATTTAAGATCAGCGCGAGTGAGAAAACATTAGGACGTAAGCTCAGTACTAAGCACTGAATTTCTCACCGACTTGAATGCCACCGCCCAGAACCCCCCAAATACATTAGTGCCCAAAAAGTATATAAAAATACGTATCATCATCATCGAATGTGCACAAGCCAAGGTCATCCGTCACGTTGAGCCTGATGAAATTAGTCCGATACCTTTGGGGGACCCTATTTTTCACAATTCAAAAAATTGCTGTTTCAGAGCCACAATGACAATCTCGCTTATATCGGCACCCCTTCTTTTCAAATCGATCACGAAAACCCCGTCTCCATCTCAATAAAACCCAAAAACACCTCAACAAATTTGGCCCATGGATTCATGTGGTAGGGCAAGGATTTAACTGGTGAGCAAAAACAGTTTTAAAATTATTACAAAACTCCGTCAACTTAAATTTGCAGGAACAGTGTTCGCATTCTATAGTAACGCAATCCAAAATGAAGGTCCTGGCCGGGATCGAACCGGCGGCCTTCTGCGTGTAAAGCAGACGTGATAACCACTACACCACAGGACCTCACGCAGTGTGCGTCATCTGTGCATTCCAGTAAACACTTCAACGCATAGCAGTCAATGAAAATCATTTGACATCATTTTGATACATGAGAAAGTTTGAAGTTCTTTCAACATTCGTCTAATAAAGATTTCGAGACTCTATTGTCAGCTGGATACTCGCGAATTGCCTTTCCTCATATAAAGCAAGCAGTGATAGCCACGACGGCACAATTAGAAAAGTTCGATAACTTGCAATAAGTGAGTAAATTGTTTTATAACCAACTTACATTTCTTGATATCGATTATTCCAACAATTTTGACGATACACTGTTCGATGTTTAAATACAATGTAACCACTAATTCATCTAATTCATAGATTCTCACAGTAAAGTTAGTCTACGTCTAAGACTTAATCCTAGAAAGTACTCTAAAGCAACACCTCTTAATTATTAGAACACATACTTCTAAACTCAATGCAGTGTTTCCAAAATGACAATCCGTAGACAAAAACCGAGAGTCTTGAGCCGGGATCGAAAGCGCGACCTTACTGCGTGTGAGCAGACTTGGATAACCACTAACCACAAGACCACAATTCGCTGTCTCTGGTTCCTGCTTCAGTTCATAATCAGTTTGTAGCTTAGTGCGTCACTGCATTGCGCCTCCTTCTCGTTCGACTAAACCGGTTCACTAATTGACTGTTAACGTCAGTGTTGGGATGATACTGGCGACGTTGGACATTTGAACGCACTTAACTGCCCCTGCACGCCAAGACCGCGCCTATATTGAGCAGCACGCTCCCTCATTGTTTGCTCTCTACTAGTGCTATTACGTCACTTCCCATTCGAGTGCAGGGGATCACGCTGTGCGTTTGCAACGCAGTCCAGTTAACCCGAAGGAAAACCGGCTCCAGGGGTTCACTCAGAGATGGGCTAACGACAGGCGAAGTATTCTCGAGTATTGACGCTTGACGGATATACTTTCGCGCTGTACAATAATGCAATTCAGCGTTATCCCAGTCCATCTCTCCGTTCCCATTTGGCGAGCTGTGGAAGGATATTTTAGAAATTCTTACTCTTCAAATTTGCACAAGAATCACAGAGAAACCAGTATGCTCAAGGCAGAACCACGCTTCGACGACGTTTTTTTCTCGGGGCAAGCCTAATTGATACGAATAAGGTACGGATCAGGGTCAACCGTCACGTCGAACATTTTCAGGATTTTTGCGACCCCCGTCCAGTACAACCAGCCTTCCCCCACCGGCGACCTCTTCCCTCTTTCTATAGTATTTGATTCTGAGACCAGTTGACACAAGCCCAAAACCAATAACTCCGAAACTCCACCCACTTTTTCCCCAAAAATAGCCGTCAAGCGGGGACCCTGAGACCCTCTCCCCTCCCAGAACGCAAATGCGACCCCCCGTTCGAACAGTTCGAACGGACGGTTGACCCTGGTACGAATGGCAGAGAATAGAAATGCGGACAGAATTCCTTGAGCGATAGCGTTTCAGGAGGAAAACCCTTTTTCGAAAAATTTTCTCATCATGCTTGACCTTGCGCCCACCGTCAGGCGGGGACGGCTCTGACAGAAGGGTAAAACTCCAGTTGGGGGGACACTCAGTTTCTCCAATACTCAAGATAAGGATGAGAGCGCTCACGACACGTAATCGACTCATTTAAAGTAGACTTCTGATAAATATCGGTGTAATGTGTGAGAAACCCTGAAGATGTTTTCACATTTCCGCCTGCCATGGTCCAAGGGAACGGTCCTGGACCAGGAGAATGGACACCTCTGCCTAGGCCTAAGGGTGGAGGAGCTCCAGGGTGGATGACCTGTGGATAGGATGTAGGCAGGTTGTGTGGAATGTAAGACATCCACCGGTCCTTATCAAAAGTACGCTTGAAATGAGTCGCTTACTTACTATCTTATTAGGTCGGTCCATAATTTTTGAGAACCTTTGTGTTTTTTGACCGTAATTACTTATCTTTTTCTGATTTATATTAGCACAGAATACATCACCATTTATACGCGAACACATACCGAGCTCGAACGACCTCAGAGAAAAATAGATTTTGTCTTCCTTTGCTTTCAAGTTGAAGGCGTTGCCATCAAGCTGTCAACGATTCTTCCCATCACTGACACTGGTATTAGTTGATGCCGGTCTTCAGCGCAAAGGCCCTCCCGTATTGCGCCAACGACTCAGGAAGTTCGAATTCAGAGGGAGTTGGGTTTGTACTGTCAGAACTCCCGAAATCGTTTGAGCAAATCTACTGCGGCTCGTGGATTTGTTAGCACATTGCACCCAGTCCACATCACCAATGAGTATTATAGATGGTCATCCGAAGGAACTATAGGAAACCTACAGGAACTTGATGATGTCGGATTGGGTTGAGAACTGATTCGGGACTACAATTTTCCTTCGATCAGAACTCTATGAAAGTCCACAAGAGAGGCACTGAACTCGTATAACTTCGTATAATCTACTCTGACTATAGTAGATGTCAGAGACATACAGATAAAGTAAGAAATCGAAAAGCCCAAAGCTTCTCAAAATTTGGACTTCAACCAATCTGTTACTTCATCGTGTTGGTAGCCCTAAAGATGCTGCTCTCCTCCATACTCGTATAAAGACAAGCAGTAGAGTGGTCCCCGAATGGAGTTTCATCGGATTTCAGAAGAGACGAATAGACAAGATATCGGGATTTGAATTTTTTCTGTAAAAGAAAAAATCCAAAAGTCCAAAAAATCAATACCATAAATTCAAAACTAGATCTAAAAAGTTAATTATTGACAATCGCCCGTTATACGTACGTACAGGTTACCCAACCCCGGGTCGGGATGTTCCTAAACAAATTTCCGTCCCACGGAGGAGTGCACCAGTGACCAATCGCCCGTAGGTCGCGACGATAAGGGTGCATTTGTAAATTTGGTTAGGGGGCTTGCGTAGGTGATCTACGCATAATGGCGTACGCCGCAGCTTACCGTTGTGTTGAGGGAACGTGGGCGGAGTTGGCTGGTGTCGATGGTCTCAGAATCAAAGGGGGAAAGGGATCGTATTGGAGGAGCCTTTTAAGACTGGTCGTGGGGGTGGGCGGTTAGGGGATTGCATCAACCCCGTCAATACCTCCCTGGAGGGGGGGGTAAATTTTTGGAAAAGTGCGAACGTGGCGTCTTTACATCTGTCGGGAAACTTGTGTCTGGTCTCAGTCCCTCTGACTTAATGACTCGTCACCATCTGAGGTTAGGATGCGTTGGTGAAGAGAGGGGGGGAAGAGGTAGAGAAGGGGGAAGAGGTGCTTAAAGTGGTAAACTGGAATTATATCAAACATTGCTGGACCTGATATCAGGGCGATCTCTGCCTATCGCACCTCTGTCTTGAATAATTTGTGTACGGACAGTGTGAGACAAACGGCGGGCAACAATGTAACCATTAAATTTTATACAATATTATGTTTACATTGTAACACAATGAGCATATATGCAAATTATAAACATGTGGTTCTATAATCACAGATGGTGCCAACGGAAAATAAAATCTGTTCTGGGAACGGTCTAATCGTACTGACTTCACACCTGACCAGCGCAGGGGAAGAAAATATGCAAATCATTTTAAGTCAAAAAAAAAACAGCGACAACAAAAGCATTTGAACCTGGAAGGCCCATAACACTTCAAAAAAGTTTGAGGTTTTTAGCATACTTACAATTATTACAATAGAGCTGGCAAGACTGCATGTGTGATCTGCTTGGAAGGGAAAGCAACTCGATGAAACCATGAGAAGCACGGAATAGGTATAGTTAAAGGTAAAGGCGGGGCTGTCACGTGGGCTAAGTGTTTGCGCATATTAGAGGGCCAGCCACTTATCATTACCACCATTCATTGTCATTCAAAGGACGAATTCACGATTAGAATGAAGATCGAAGAAGGAGTAATTCACCTAGATGAGAGACCCGCGGACCCATGGGTTTTCCTTCTTTACTGTACCACTCACCATCGCAAAGTTAATTTGACATGGGTTGCCTATTCCAGCGTGAATTCGTCCTTCAATAAGCTTCCGCTATCCCACCGCGATCTGAACTTCCTTGCATTCCGCTCAGATCCTTCCGCCTTGTCTTTGGAAAAACGATCGAATAGCGGAATAATTAAGTTCACCGTATAGTGACCGAAATCAATGGTAACCAT